CTTTAATTAGACTCTTCCAGGAGGTGATTTTTTCTTCTTGCTGAATGAAATAACAGCAAAAATTAAAAAAATTAAGGTTATTTATGCTTTATTTGACATAATTAAGTTAAAAGTGTATCGTTTGGGTCAGTTTATGTTTAAAAAAAAAGTTTAAAATAGTGTCAAGCTTACGCAAGGAAATTTATACAGGAAAATAGTAAATTTTATTTTGTTGAAATAAGTAAAGTGACTCGAAATATTCAATTCACTTAATAATGTAGATATTCACGAAGTTTGACGCGCGTAGAAAAAGTTGTTGGAACAAATGCCTCAGTAAATAAAAATGGGTAAAACACATCGCTTTATTCAGATGTCTTATAATTTGGAGAAAAACTATCGGATTTCTCTTACTTTCACTAAATATACGGTTAAATGACTTTAACAGCCGGTACAATTATAGAACGTTCATCAATATTGATCGGTAAAATTTCCTCTGTTGAACAAATTTACGTTAAAATGGTATCTGAAAAGCGTTGATCAGATTAAACCCTGAGGTCCAAACAGGGATAGTTAATTAATTATTTGAAAAATATGTTCTAAAACTAAAGCTTCAATAAAATTTTTCAAGTCTATGCATTCAACATGTTTATTTTGGTCTTCGATAACTGGCTGAGTATTAATAATTATTTAGTCAGTAAAAACATATTCAACATTGTTTTTAAATTTTCCTCACTTAGAATTAAGTGCTCTTATTTAGGAAATTTTTATTTGGAATGGAAACATAAACTTCGAAGCGCTTCCGGAAATTATCCAAATTAACATAAAATTAACAATTTATTTACAGTCAAGTCAGTAAGAGTAGTAAAGTGCTGGCGACTAGAATATTTTTCAGCAATATACTGGTAGTTTCATTACCAGCCTCTATATGTTTAATGAATTCAAGGCACATATCACCCACATTTGGTTCCATCATTATACATTTAGAGTTTTATGACCTATGACATGACCCATAAGAAAAAACAATGGACAGTAGACCGAGCGACATGTCGCCGGCATGACATGAAACTTGCACCTCGATTACTTCCGGAAAATAACATCCAAATAAGGAGGTCTTTGTCAATGTCAGAGATGCGAACAAAAGATAATAATAGGCTTATTCATCCGCAAGCGGCTAATTTTCGTTTTGTTTGGGTGTTAACAATCTGTGGTGTCTACTACCGTATCAACTCATTTTAATTTTAAAACCAGGAGTTAAATGAACTTTTATTTCGTGCCATTCGGTTTTACATAAGCACTATCATATCAAGACGTTGACTCGTACCGTTAGGATTTGGGCCGATGTTTCTTTAAGTGTGCGTTTGAGTCATAACATTATCTAGCAACTGACTTTGGAGCTTTGTTTTTGGTGTTTAACGCATGTAAAAGCATTAGAAATTATCAAATCAACTCATCAAAAATTGCTGCGTTGGTTCGCAAACGATTAGTTATGAAACATCAGCTTTCCTGAAAATTATCGAAAATATTAGAGGAACCTTAATTTGAGCAAGATGCTTAGCAAGGATTTCTACTTGTGTCAGAGCCATCTTCATCTTCTTTGTACATTACACGCGGCCATTGGCCTCTTTTGTGGAAATCTTCAAACGCTAAAACATTTAAAAAAAAACCCTTCTCTTTGACAAATTGGTCAATATATAGCTTTTTATATTTGAAGCTTATATTTTGAAATATACAAAATATCATCAGCAAATATATTACTCCTTTAGAAAAGTTTCAAAGTTATAAGCGAAATAGTTAAGTATCTACTGTTATTTTGGGTAGTATCTAAGTACGAGGTTTAGCCATTTAATTTCCAAATTGCCGTGTAATTGTCGTGTTTGTGAATGAGCATATTACCTAACCAACTAATTAGCCTACCAGGTCAAACTTGGAGTGAATTTTCACAAAATGGACACTATTTTCATCTTTAAAGTTGACTGTGGATGTCTAATATTTCACCTATTCCAATTTAGAAAAACAATCATTAATAGAACAATAAGTTGAGCTAATTTGTTTGTAATTTTGTGAGATTATAAAAGTAAATATGTCGTGTCAAAATTTTGTAAAAGGGAAATTCTTCAGCTGAATCATGTCCCACAATCAGTTTCCGAAAAATTTGATATTGGTTGATCCAATTATTTCCAAAGGATTTCGCTTAAACCACTACGACAAACTGAACGAATGGAATTATTTCATGTTTTTTCAAAAGGTTAAGTGACTAATGCGATTTTATCGAAATTTTATCTTAAAGCGTTTTATGGTATAATTAGTGGAAATTTAATTAATTCATAATAAATAATAATTAAGTAAATATTTAAAAATATTTAAAGAATAAATTAAATTAAACAGTAAAGCTCATAAAGAATAATTCTGTAAAAACAGTATAACTTAATTCAGTTAATGACTACTGAAAGATCCAGCAACTGCGTAAAACTAGAAAATAATCATACCACGGCATTTTTCGTATTACCAGGCCAGATTTCATATCAAAATGTTCAGATGTCATGCAAAACGCCATTCTTTTTCAAGGAAAGTTGTAAGTTCTGTCGCGCAACCTTTTCAAACTATGTAACTGTTTCGTCATATTAATCATCCTGTCAGTAGACTAAAATATTTAATTTGTCGCCCAGCCGATAAATCTTTTTCATTGGGTCAAATGCTCATATTGTTGGGAGAGGAACGGATATTTTTATATAAGAAACAATGCTTAGCTTTAAAAAATTAATGAGTCTGAAGGGAAATGTTAATACTTACTTTCAATCGTCTTCATTTTATATTCTGCTTAGTTTTGAAAAAATAATACATTTTTAAAAGAAGATCGAAACTGATATATTTAGGAGTAGTAATTTTTACCCAACTCAAGCACAGACCTTGTTTTTGCAAAACAAACTAAAACATAAGTCTATAAGCAGAGCCATAAGCTCTTATTGGTATTACATCTTGATAAAAAATCGTGTTTCATTTTACGATTTTTACCTTCAAATATATGTTACTTTTAAAATTAGGTAAATCTCAAAACTTACCCTTGCCTCAAGTAGCTTGAACTTTATAATATAATAAATTTATTTAAAATATTTCAGTTTTGTTAGGATAAATATAATTACAGTTTTTTTATTGTCATGCGAACACTTCAAATATATTTTTCTCGCATCCTGTATATCCCAACCACTTGAGACAAAAGTAGGGGAGATCGGCTATAAATGTGAAATTTTTGACTTGCGATTTTTATCACAGGTAAATAAAAACTTGTAGGTAAAATAAAGTGCTACCCACCACTAACTTGGACATTGTGCTACACTCTTACTTTATAATATTTTCGAATTTCCATAATTTAGAAACAAAATTAAAAAATTACCTAAGTGAATGCATAGTATTGGAAACCATAATTAACCACACGATTAATTATGTACTACGCAATCATTTTTGTAAGCAAACGGTGAGATTTGGGAATTAAAACATATGCTGATACCTACTTAATATTTTTCTATTAATGCAACAAAGTAAAAACGCTATAAAATGAATCGCTTTCGTCGTCGCTATCGCAATTCAAACATTATAAAAATCAAAACCTAATTTATGAGCACATTTTTTGTGAGCCTACTTCTTACATTTGTTACACTGAATCCACTTCACTCTGGAACTTGGTATAAGTTTCAATACAATTGAAGCAAAGTGAATCTTCAATTACATCATCTGAAATCTCCAACATTTCCTTTTCTGCAACTCGTGTTGATCAGCGTTCTTGTCACTTATTCCTCTCTTTAAATTGTTCCTTTTGATATCCACTTCTTTGGAACTAAGTCAATTTTTAGTTTCACTGAGGTTGACTTCTGCTTCCGTAAAATTTGCTTTTATTCTAGCAATTGTCTTCTTGGAGTGTCTGTGAGAACAATGCTTTGATTTTTCCTTCGTTTTATTATCTTTCTTGCTGCACAAGTTGTCTTTGGTGAGTGAAGTCGTCGGATATTTTCGTCGAATCTGGAAACCATACCCATGTATTATACAAAGACTAGCAAAATATACAAATTTTTCCTATCTGTACGAAAAGTTAACAATTGCAACTAACAATTCGCTGATCGCACGTGAACTATTAAAATGCCGATTAATGTTTTTATATCAAAAGTTTGTTTATTTGTAATGTTGTGATACGAAATAGAGGACTTAGGAATCTTGCACTTTTGCATCGCATTACAATTGTTCCCTTCTTACCTCTAAAAGAATCTGAAGTTTTCGATGGTGATTATAAAATTAAAAAAGTGCAAAAAAATAAAATTATATATTTCAGTTTACCGTCAGGATGTGGCGCTTATGTTTAAAATTAATACACCGTTCTTACATCAAAACGTATTTGAGATTCTTCTAGAAAAACAGTAACTGAGCAAATTTAAAAAATCCTATTTTAGAGGTCCATCTTCAAAGAGCCTTATTTCAATCGTGTGCGAAATAATCAAGATGTCTTCATTAGTCGGTTTAGTTTCTGGACGCCGCATTGTTGAGTGGCAATTTCAATATTTCTTGAAATATTTTGCAAGACCCTGTCACAAAAAAGACGAGATGATGTACCAGTTACCTAATTTGAAATCACACATTTATATCTAAAAAAACAATTATATTGAGCTTTAGATGGTTTTTCTAGGATTGTTTAAATCAGTGATATCATGTTTCCAAATGTTCATAACATTTTTTTTTCTTTATTTCAAGTTGCATTCTGATACATGCACATGTATAAAGAATACAGAATGAAATGGCGTTAAAAAACAATTGACAAAGGACATATACTAAAACATTCGTGTATTAACTCGCTTTTTTATATTGTGCTTTGTAGATCTGTTTGCATCAAGCCAGTTTTTTATTTCGGCGGTTTCGAAAAGTGGAAGAGTCCCTGAAAATCCCTGATATCCTTCTTCAATTCCTTCTGCCTCATCCATCTCGAATAAAATACACAAAGCAGGCGCATTCAGAATTTCGACGCTCCACAGAAATCCGGCCGCACTTACGAATTAGTCGCGCGCTGCCTTTCGTGTTGGTAGTTTTATGTCGCTCAGTTGAAAAATCTTACGCGAAAAGCGGCAAAACAAGTTTTAAAACTCGCAAAAGTTTTTCAAAAACTTCACATTCATTCAAGTGTATTTTCTGGAGAATTCTAAAATTGTTTACACTTGGTTAAAACTAGTTTGCTCAGTTTATTCAAGTGAATGTAAATAAACCTTTTCAAATTGTCTCGGCGCAAAAAAACAGTGTGTTTACAATTTTTTTCCTAGGATGTTTTAGTGATAAGTGTTGTATGTATGCGCGTTTAGCGCGTTCAGTTGAATTTTAGTAGTATAATGTGATAATTGAGTTCGCGGTTTGTTGCTGGATTTACCATTAACTTTGGCTAAATATGTGCGACGACAATTCCATTATCGAGGGTACCGTCAAGTTTCGAGATGGCAAAAAGGTAGGATAGTCCTTGCATTTCAGTCAATACTTTGATTATTTTTCTTGCCAATAAAATGCTGTTTTCGGCAATTAAAAACCTCAATATTTGCGGGCAAAACCGTAATTTTTTTGTATTTGCAACCGCGGCTCAAGCAATTAATCTAAGTTATAGTTTACCTGACAACCTTGACTTCAAAATGCAATTAAAATTAATCCTGATTGAATTATTTTTCTCTTCGTTCTGATTACACATTTAATTTTATTAGCTAAAAAAGTAATCAAAGTCCTAAAAAATGCACAGGGCATTTATTAACGTTGCTGATGAATTCGAATGACGTTTTAAGATATATTTGCTGATCATCCATAGACTCGTTCACATACACTTAAGTACAAGTTTACAAGTCCGAAAGCCGTTACAAAATTGCACTTTACTCCTCAATTATCACTTTTATCTTATCAGAAATTATTTTTCACCAATAACCTTAGGCAATTTTTGCGATTATGGGCAATATATTTTTTAGTGATAAGCAAAATCAATAGCCGCTAGCAGGGATTGACGGCATATTACATGACAAACTTAAGAGATAATGTACTGAAAAAGGTTCGTTGGCTTGTCACTGAGTTTATTACAGATCCTTTAAAATTAAACAGCCCATTTCAATGTATCGGGTATGAGTTTCAAAACCACAATTTTCCGCAATATAAAAGACGAAATATCTGATGCAAAATGTATGTTCATTTTTATACCTTAATAATCTTTAAGGCAGACCAAAAAGATCAAGTACAAGCTTGCCTTTTTTTGAGGTGACAAATGTTTACAATTATTTTAGGACAAGTAACTTATTATTAGCATTGAAAATAAATAATTCAAATAATATCTGAATCGTTTTGCGAATTAGTGAAATTCGCACCCTACAAAAATGGATTCACCTACTTCATTTAATAACTATACAAGTTTATTTATTTTCTAGTATTTACATACTCTATTTTTATTAATTTTCAAATAAATCTTATTATTATTTCCTAACTGTTCTATTAATGAATTTAAGTTATTTAGGTAATAATTAAATTAATGGTGGTTATATGAGTCGAAAATTTACGAAGAAAAACTCTTATTTTCCTTTCTACGTTTCGATTGTATTTAAGCCATCATTAGGGCAGGAATCCCGTGCTTCCTAATTATGGTTTAGGACAAGAGACGCGAGCATGCTACAAAAGGGGAAGATTTTTCTTTATCTTTCCGTTGCCTTGATTTTCCTTTTTCTTTTTTTATAGCATCGAAAGCTATCTAGTTATACGTTTGTCTATTGTCTACACAGACAGTATTTTGTTAGTTGCATTCAAAAAAGTAAATAAAAAACAGGGACAGGGATCGAAAAGAAACATTTCCTCCTTTGACAACTTGGAAAGGAAAAATTGTGATTTTCTTCCTCACTCCTTCACAAATTAGCATCACGGTCACCTTCAAACTGTAACAGTTCAATTTTTAAATTGGATTTTATTTGAAAAATTTGTTGAATTACTTAAGTAAGTTGGTACTTATTACATAGAAACGGGAAATTGAGCAAAGATTTTTTACACAAAAAATCAATACGTTTATGCGGTTTTTTTTGGAAAATTTGCGTGTCAATATCGTCTAATCTAATCGGCCCACACAAGACAGGTATTCGAACAGTATAAATGTTCAATTTGATTTACAATGTTTAACTATCTCGTAAAAGTGTAAAATTTTTGTTGGTTCTGGTAAATATAATTAATCGGCTTATTAGTAAAATTGGAGATTTTTACGCCATATAGATAATCATAACCAAATATGGGAAAAAGCATCACATTTATAAGTGTTTGTTCAATCAATACATTTTTTCAGAACCTAAGCTTACTAGGATACAGAGTGATTAAATAACAATGGGAAATCCCAAAGCTGGTGGTTTTCCTGTGCTTTTCTCATAGAAAGGCTCACTTAGGATTAATTTCATTGTATATGCAGTTGCACTCAACATAAGCCTTTATTAAATGCATATGAGAACAATCGAGGCGCTAAACTGTAAATATAAATTCTGCTTTAAGAAAAAGTGTTTTTAATTGATGAAATACTTACAATTATACCTATCGGAAAATGCTTTCTATCCGAGTCACGCGTCCTTAAAAAAGCGCTAATCGGAAAGTTAGTTCATATTGCTGTTGAACGTACATTTTTTGTACTCGAATACTTTGAATGTATACTAATATACTCGATACGTTGAAGTTAACTGAGAAGTTGTCAATTTATTAACATATTTATATTATTTTCGTTTGAATCAATACTGTTATGAAGCACAAATTGTGAAGATTTTCCGTAATTTTCCGAAAATTTGTCTTTTACTTACTACTTCCTAACTACACTAGTTAGGAAAACAGTTTACTTCCTTCCGACACCCCATTTTCCAATTATTACCTTAAAACTAAAACTGTTTTACATAGACATGGAGCCCCTAGCAATTCTACGAGGTAATTTTATAGATAATTTAAGTAAATAATGATGGTCACTTAACCTAGTTGGCAACGGAGATAAGGATATCTATCAATAATCCACACCCATGCATTGAGAGAGAACTTATGTTCGAAATTTCGTACTTTCGGGGCTCGGAAAATTAGTATTCTGGCTGGCAAATGCTTTCCACACGAGGTTAAGAGTCGTTCGGCCTGAAAATCCTATACCCTTTATAATGCAGAATATGTAATTTGTGCGTATAGGTCGTTCCTCCATTCTAGAAATGTTTACACCTTATGACGACTAAACAAAAGTAGAAAAAACGTAAACTAAAACAATAGTGAAACCAACCTTCGGTTTTAACAGGTTGGATATAAGTACTCAACCTCTTTATTTTGACCACCGTTAAACAAATCTGCTAAGTATTTTTATTTGACTTATGGATATTGAAAAAAATGATATACAATTCTATTCAGCTCTATTTTTAAATTGTAAGTTATTGTAATCGAAAAAAAAAAGCCGCTATAGTCTATGACAAGCATGGAAATGAGTTACTAAACCAGATGCTGCATTTGAATGGTTTGAAAGCTAATCATCCACGCTTATTCTTATTCTTTAACGCGTTTTCTGTTTCTAAGTGATAGCTAGATCAAACTTGTGAAATCTTCGTACCAGAACCGTCAAAGATCAATCCAGCTTTGTAGATAGATAGATATAGATATATATATATTTTTTTTTTTCGTTTTCCTGCTTCATTCGACACTTTTAATAGAATTTACTGTTTCTTTTTCTTGCATTTACGTTTGCTGGTGTTTTTCGCCAACTAACTTACTTAATAGAAAACTTTAAAGTTTTTATTAATAATAATCTATTAGAAGCCTACTCACAAGGAGCAATATAGCAAATATTCTGTTACTGGGTCCAAACTTTTTGATTATCTCTAATTCCGCTTTGACCCCAAATAAATACGTTATCCAACAAATTTTATCCCTTAAAGAAAACAATATTAAATCCATCAAAACTTTCCGGTCGTTCGTTGTCGCAGGCTCCGGTCGGTATTTCGCATGAAAAAACCCCGAACCAAAAATTGCCGTTCGAAAAAGGTCTAATTATTTATTCAGGAGGGATCAAGAATCGGGAGATTTGCAAAATTGGTCCGTATCGATTAATTTCTAATGGCTACACAAAGTGGTCCATTGTCCCTCGGGACTTGCAGCACAATTTTTATCGACAGTTGTTCCTGGATTATTTTTTATTATCCTGCATGCAGTGCATATTTAAGCGGGTTTTTAGCTGCGTGTTGAACGAAACGATATAAAACCAAAAACTCAGGTCAAGCGACGGTGATGTTTTTGATGCGTTTATTGGGGGAAACCGATGCTTTGTTAGGAGCTTGACGGTTTATATTCACTTTGTATGAGCGCTAAAAACGAAAAAAACTTATAAAAATGCAAATTCCGGTAGATCGAACGTTAGAAAATGGAGTGCGATTTTTTCGACTGAAAATGGCTGGAGTCGGCCCGGAATCAAATCAATGCGTTCATTTTCGGGAGAGTCACTGATACTTAGGGAAAACAATTTGGAAAGGCCAGATTAAAATGAAATGATTTATGATAGTCACGGTTTTCAGCCCAGTTCTGATAATATGGAAACACACTTACTTAATTTAAAAATAAACATTGTAATATATGCCGCCCGTGTTTAAGCTACAAGGTTTGTCCAAAACTTCATAATTGGAAGGATGTTTAAGTGAAATTTACAACGAATATGTATTCGTAAATTTTTGATTTTGTCAGAACGCAAACAGAGTTTATGCACGGCAAATATCCAGGAAGTAAAGATTGGTTAAACTAGATAATACAAAACATCTAATGATGGGAAAATAATGAAAAGTTTATGAAAACGATAGTAACTTAACTATTGCAAATAGCAAATATTCTGAACAACCACTTTTGTCCAGTTTTTTAAGTATTTTTTTATATTGCCGCTTTGCATTTTATGTTTTTTCAGAGATGGGGAATTTTCTTGCAAAGATGACTCAACTAATCTCTTCGGAAATCACTTTATTCCACATTTAGTTAGGACAACATACTAATACTTCATTCATAAATCTAAATTCAAGCATAAATCTAAAGCCTAGTCTTTCAACTTGAGCCCTAAAACTTAAGTATTTGCATGGTATTTATTAAACAAGTAGCAACATTACAATTGTTAGTCCAGTTTGTATTAACCAAATGTTTTTGTTTGTTCTGTTTTTTCTTTACTTCTTTGAATGCAAAATGAAAATGTATAGGAAGTTATGTAAAAACATCATTTAACTTACCTTTGATGCAAACTATTTTATTTCAACTTCCCTAAGGATAATAATTCCCTTCCCTAATAAAGGTTCGTTTGATTTGGTGTTCAATTTTCACGGATTTGTGCGCTATTTATCCATTTAGTAGCTTATTCTTAATTTCATTTTCCGTACGTACGCTCTTGATTGGGTCGAAATAGTCACTTTAGCAAGCTTCTGACAGTATTTTGTTCAATTCTTAAGAAATATCTGA